TGTTCGTTGCCGACGACGACGGTCAGATAGTTCGACTTCTTGACCAGACGCTTACTTCCATCGATGGCGTTTCCGTCGGGGAGGCGACGGAGGCTCTGGATCGACTCTCTAAGGAGCTCCCTCACTTCCCTTATCGTCTTCTCTCCATCGCTTCCGGTTAGTCTCTTTTTTCTTTGGTCTTCTATTTCTTCCCGATTACCTAGCCTTTTTTTTTCCTGCTCCGAAGAATGGAATTTTGATGAAGACACGGGATTTTGATTTCCTCGAATCGATGGAGCAATTAGGGTTACGTTGGTTGATTTCACAGTGGTAGCGATTTGACGAAAAATTTGTTGAGTTATGAACTTGTTTTAGGTCTTTCTGAGTATAACAGAACCCGATTTCAAGGGATTGTTAAATCTACTTGTAGTTGGATTCTGAGATCTGCTGATTGACTTCATTTCATCCTTCGTGTTCCTGAAATTTTCTTATGAGATTAGTCCCTTTTTTTGTTTATTTTCAAATTGAAAGTAATCCAAATTGAGCAGCCCTTTTGGTTGCAGCATATGATTTCTGTGTATGATGGAGTTTGATAACCGTGGAGGTAGTTTCTCGAATGAATGTTAAATCCTTAAAGCAATATTTTGATTCAGCTGATCCAAAACTCATACAGGGCTGAACTAGTCTGGGCTGAGTCTTTTGGTTCTAGCCAGCTTATATATATCCTTCGCCGTTGAATGTGTGCTAGTGCAATTTTTCTGATTGACAGGAGGTGAAAATCCCAGCCACAGAGTTGCCGCTGCAACATATCTGAAGAATTTTACCAGGAGGAGCACTGGGACTGGAGGGACAATCTCAGAAGTCAGCAAGGAGTTTAAGGATAAGCTCCTCCTAGCTTTGCTTCAGGCAGAGCCTGCAGTTCTTAAAGTTTTACTTGAACTGGTAGGCGTATTCAACAAACTTATCTTCATCTAGCTATTGCTAATCTTACTTTAACCTCTTGTTCCCTTAAAATTTTCAGTTTAATTTTTCTACTCACCTTCATTTTACTTCACTTGTGGCCAGTTCCACATTGTTGTTGTGTCAGAATTTGTGAAGAAAAATGCATGGCCTGAACTTGTACCGGAGCTGCGGTCTGCTATCGAGAAGAGCAGTTTAATAAGCAGTTCAGACTCTAGCTGGAGTACTGTGAACGCACTGATGGTATTGCTCACAGTTGTAAAGCCTTTTCAGGTACTTGCTGCATTCTCTTTCGTAAGAAAAAATTATAAATAATATATTAAGGGAGTGGTGAACTATAAATTTACA